ACGTGAAGTTTACTCTCACCTGAGATCGTGTGTGACGTGAAGTTTACTCTCACCTGAGATCGTGTGTGACGTGAAGTTTAACTCCCACCTGAGATCGTGTGAATGTGTGACATGAATTTTAACTCCCACCTGAGATCGTGTGAATGTGTGACATGAAGTTTAACTCCCACCTGAGATCGTGTGAATATGTGACGTGAAGTTTAACTCCCACCTGAGATCGTGTGAGTGTGTGACATGAAGTTTAACTCCCACCTGAGATCGTGTGAATGTATGACGTGAAGTTTAACTCCCACCTGAGATCGTGCGAATGTGTGACGTGAAGTTTAACTCCCACCTGAGATCGTGTGAATGTGTGACGTGAAGTTTAACTCCCACCTGAGATCGTGTGAGTGTGTGACATACCTTTTTAATTGCTGCTTGAACTCGGGCACTGTTCATCACTTCTTGAGTGATTTCTGCAGGAACCCTTCTTCGGTTATACTGATACTTAGGTGTCTGGAAAGAACGAGTCACCCACAGAAAGTCGCCATCTTTACGTCTTTCTTCTAAAATCTCCATGAATGTCTTTCCGCCTATGATTCTTGTAGAAGTTGAAGCCATGTCCTTATACATAAAGATGTTAGATCGGGAGAAATGTAGAATTTGAACACTTCCAATTCGTTGTTAAAAGCTGTAATTGGAGGAAATTCACACTATTTAATTCTTCAAACTACACTATTTTGATGGGAAGAAAACTTTGATTCGTTTCTCACGATACCGAATTGTGTTTAGCAAGTGGTATTTGTGTTAAAATGAGCATTGTTAACAAAGATGTCCAAAATATTTACAGCTAAAGGCAGCTCTGTGTTTTTAAAGATAGAAATCTTGATTTTAAAACTGTCAAACCACCGAGCTAAAATTTCGAAAATCAGAATCTTAATTAACAAGTTGAATCAATAACATTTTGTCTCATCTTTTCTTTCATCCTTTTTATTCCTTTTTTGTAATTAAAATTATTTTTTTACTATGCTTTCTCATTAAACATCTTATTTATAAACGTTTATGAATTAAATATTTAATAATTACATTAATTCTAAACCGAATCTAATCGTCATGTGCGTTATATGAGAATCTTATTATAATAAAATCCATTGAATTCTCAAAATCCGAAAAAAAAACGGTTGGATAAATCCTAGAAATCAATTTTATTTTCTAAGGTTATCGTACTTTCGAAAGGCTTAAAACAACATCAAGTTAAAGACCAACAATAAGAGAATTAATTGTCAATTTTGTCGACAGCAGCGAACAACACAGATTCTATCACATCCTTCTGCCCCAAGACATTGTTCTCCGACGACTCCAATCTTACACAATTCTCGACCAATAAATGCACTAGTTTTGAAGACTATCCTCTCAGGAAAATTTATTGAAAGTGGTGACAAAATATAGTGATATTTCTTTTATGTGTATCACTCAGGAAGTTGGACTGGATGACACGATCTCAAATCTCCAGTTTTCTATCTGTCTACGCTAATGACTAACTTACCAGACAAGGATATGTTTTCATGCAAGATGGAACTCATTTAAATTTGAGCCATAAATCATTGGCTTGAAAGTTAGGACGTTACCACTCTCCTGTGGCCAGGCTAATCATCGGAGATGAACACTATCGAACACGTGTGGTTCATCCTTTTGTAGTCAGGCCAATCATCAGAGATGAACACTATCGAGCACGTGTGGTTCATCCTTTTGTAGTCAGGCCAATCATTAGAGATAAACACTATCGAGCACGTATGGTTCGTCCTTTTGTAGTCAGGCCAATCATTAGA